GAGTAAGTTGAGTTTACTATCGTCTGTACAGTATGTAAATTAGGTACCGTAAGTCTAATACAGCACTAATTTTATACATTTCTTGTGAAAGAAACATTTCTTATTCAACGGCCATTAAAATTATTTATATTAATGATGTCTCCAAAGTTCAACGAATTTTTCGCAGAAAAATAACTTATCAGAATAACTCATCAGGCCGCCGTTTGGTGCGCTGCTCCGCGACGAAAACAAGCTTAAGCAATGGCGACGTCGAACGGTGCACACTCGGTAAGTAATTATACAATTTTTTGTTTATAACATAGTTTATATGGATTATTCCCAAAAAATTATACGTGTTTTGGAAATGTTCTGTCGAATTAGTCTTGAATTGATTAATTTTATGGAAGATAACTTTTCAAACAGCCGTAGTCCGTAAACTTTACACGTGTCGGGCTGCGATTAGCTCAAGTATTTAAGGATTCCTACAACTTGAAATTCGAATAACGTGGAACGTTTCTACTTGTTATAGGGGGGCTCTACTGTACAATTCCTATTACGAATAATTTATCTATTTTATTCTAAACATTATAACAGGAGACTATCTCTTCTAAATTTACACGTATTCATTCAGACCCGACGTGACACATTTGTGACTAGAAATATGTAAAAGAACTAAACTGCGCTTTACGTATTCGAGTCTATTAAACAGAGCAGTGATAATGAAGTTTCTATCGCCTTCATATTGTGGTCGTGAAATGTGTATACTAAAAAGAAGTGAGCCAAGAAACGCGAATCAAACCACTTAACAGGACAACTTAATTCTATTTAAATATATTCTCTAAGTCGTACAAACAACTGTAACTTCGGGCACCATTTTTTAAGTAGAGTTTTTTTAAAAGAATTTTTAACGAGAGTTTCGTGACGATGTAACAAACTGAAGAAAGGTATCTTCTTCAGTTATTTCTGTACACATTATGCTTCTTGTTTCGCCTCATCTCTTACGTGGATTCCAATTGTTCCTTTTAAAGGATATCAAGCTGTATGAAGAAAGTAAGTATCAAGAAACCTACAAACACGAATAGTTAACAAAAATAACAAAAGTACAAACTACTCGTTAACAGGAATCTGTATTACCAATATGTATACTGAAAAACAATGTTAAGTCGCATTGTCCGCTTATTTCATGCTCACATTGCTAAAAAAATCATATTAATGTATTCAGAATTTATATGAAAATTAATGTAAATAAATTTCAACGTAAAACTTATGTAAATTATATTATAAACAGAAAATAATTCGATTTCGGTATCAAAAAATCGAATTACTGAAAAGGTTTATTCGATTTAAAAGCTCAAAGTAATAAATCGCGTGATTCTTACTAAACAAAGGTAATATTTAAATGCGTAGAATTGCGTTTAATATTCGATATTTATGCATTAGTTATTTAACGAGATCCTTAATAAGTATATTTAAAATGGGATGCCAATAGTATTTTTTCACAATACTATCTGTTTAAATTTCAGAAATTACAATTGGAATAAAATTTTTATTTCCTGCTTTCCCTAATAATAAAGTAAATTCATCAAATTTATTATAAAATATACATTGAAAATGATATAAACTCTCATTCTTAATATTCTAGAAAAATACTCAAACAGCAAACGTATGACAAAACTTGTTTTAATGTTTACTCGTTTACAGAAAACACATTTGAATAAAATCCAAATCGGTGTTAAATTATTAATTATTTACTAAGTTATGAATACAAGACAATGGTACTCATTGTTATTTATAATGTCGTAGATTTAATATAGTTATTTGCTAAACCGTTTAAGATAGTGCCTAACTGCATTGTTACAAACTAAACGTTCGAAAATAATATTATCCTATAAATTCCGGTCATTTTACATCTTCGACCGTTCGGATGTTAACCCTCCTTCCACAAGGTGGTGTCGTATCCGACACGTCTTGTTTTTTTCATTTGCACAGGAATCTACGCAAGTGTTGGGGGCTGTGACTATAAATTAACTTATCAGGCAGTAGTACTCAAGAGAGTGGCATGAAAAAATAAATTGTCGACCGTCAATTCTTCTCAAAATTTAGGTATTATTAGAGCGCACTTTGCTCTGGTATCAGATACAACACCTTGTGATGTACTGTACGTTATCTTTTTTCATCATGTAGGAAAAGCCTAAAGAGATATTTCTTGATTATCAACTGTTGTTTGGCAGATTAGTATAGCAGAATATCATCGATTTACGGACGAAGAAATTCGTCAAGAATTGTTACAGCAACAGGTCAAGAATTGTTACGGTAAATCTGAATAGTCGTAATAAGAATTCTTCAAAATTTCTGTATGATGATCTGAAGATGCTTGTTTCTTTTTTTCCGAAAAAAATAAAACTGTAGTCCTCATATCATCCATGCTTTCCACTGGCGAAATTGACCAAATCAGTCAAAAACCT